CATGTTACTTAAGGCTAACAGATGTTTTACCCAGATGACAGAGTAATTTGTGCCACAAAAGTTGAAAGAATAAGTACAAATGCAGTTTGTTTTCAAGCTAATGAGCCAGATTTTGCTTTTGTGTGAAAACAGCTGCAACATCACATCTGACCTAAACAGAGTTTACTTCATACCCTCAGATTTTTAAGTTTATTATTTATGTTTTATTATATCTAACCTATAATATATATACATTTTTGACAGAATAATTTTCTATTATAAGGACACACTCCTGCATTAATAATAACAATAGTGTGACACACTGTGAAACAGCCAAACTCCTAAACAACTTTGTTACGATGTACTCCTGAGAAGCAACCAGCCTGAATGCCAAAATGTCTATTCAGTTCTTAGGTTAAAAAAACGCAACCCTGTGGCCCGCAACCCTGCTTGTTGTAAGCTCATCATATTTCAGAAATGTAAAATGCTCACTCTCTGATCTTCTTCTCTGAGCCGTCTTGCCCTCCATCATAAACGCCCTTAGGGAGGTGCTGGATCAGGCCAATGCGCTGAGCTATGCGGATCTGCTCCTCTTCTGTCAGCTGGGTGACCAGACGAGCCTGGCTGGGTGTAGGATGGTACATGGGCATGTGAGCCTGCTCCTGGTAGCACAAACAGGAAAACAACAATATGAAACCAAAACATGTGCTTCCCCCTATAAGCTAACTGTGTGCCTGAAGAAAGTGGTCAGACTAGATTAGGCTCTGTGCTGGGATAAGGTGAATAATGCAGCAGCTGTCTGGTTTGGCAACTTTTGATAAATGCCTTCTGTTAACACATACTAAATGTATGATTACTTCTCAAAGGGCCACAGATATGACACTGAGTTATCCTTTGTTATCACCACCTACTGCATGTTAGCATGTATGTTCTTAACTGACATTAACCTCACAAACTATGATGTTACTCATGTGTCGGGCATGCTCCGCTCCCCTCCCCCCGGCCCTTTTAGATTAAAACACCTGAAAGTTGAGACTCAGCAGCTGCTCACCTGGTAGGGCGGAGGCGGCTCCAGGTCCGGGTCTGTCCCGTCACCGAAACTAGCCCTGTCTGACTGGGATTCGTGGAGCAAAGAAATGTCGTCTGCTGTAGGAGACTTGAGACAGTTACCCATGTCGTCGTGTCCTTTCCTGACCCACGCCAACAAACAAGATATTTGCTGCTAAAGTTGCCCCCCTTGGCTGTTTACTTTCTACACCACAAACTGTTTAGTTACTGTTCAGCTAACTACCGCTGTGGGCACTCTTTACATGCTTATCCGTATAAAACTCCTAAGTAAAAGTTAAATACTAATAGTGTCTCTTCATGTTTAGTTGGACCTCCACCTGAAAAACAAAACAAAGAACTCCCCTCGCTAACGACAGCTAGCAGCTGAGCTAGCTACTATTTCGCTAGCCAATTGGGCGACTTCCTCTATAAGTATCGCTCATTCCTGTGTAAGACTCGCAGTCTCTGCAAAATATCTACTTCAGCTGTAACTTTGGCCGAGTCACTCAGCTGTCTGGGTGTCTGAATGTACAGACATTTCCGCCCTTTAACTTCGTGAGTATTATTTAACAGTTTGCTTCCTTGCTAGCTCTTTCTTCAGCCAAAGGATATGTTATCAGTCCGTTTCATATGACGTAGGTTGTAGTTCTGCATGCTGATTGGACATAAAGCCAAAGAAAAATAGAGCCAAAAAAAATAAATAACTATTAAAAAGTATTTATAAATATTTAATCGCTACAAAAAAGACTACATTAATATGAAGGAATACTTATAGAGTATTACAAGTATATAAATAACCTTTTTTTGAGCAGATAATTACATTTAAAGTCCTGTTTAGAAGCTAATGATTTCACTTTCCACACAGCTAACACTGTAATTCATTGCAAAAAAATCTAATTTCCAGTTTTGGTCACATGTTAGAAAAATAGTCTGGAATAGTTTGGACTGTATACAATATGCATTATACAATTTTTTTTTTACATTATACTTTTTTTAAAAATACATAATGTAGATTTTAGAGCACAATGCCTATATATGTTTAGTTCATGACTTTTTAGCTGTCTGACAGCCCTCTCGTCTCTGGCTATTTAAACCTCATCTGAAGCTGAAATTAGGTAATATGTCAAATAGTTAGGGGAGGGGTTGGGAACATTACTGATACATCTGGGTGCACCTTTTTCCACATGTAAGGTGTTAACAAGTTGTTTGTTATCCAGAAGGGGGTTTCGTTTGTTTGTTTGTTTGTTTTCATTTGTTAGTTGCATTTTAAATGATTATATCTCACGTGTGCACATGATTAAATGTCTCACATGACATTTAGTCATTTGGGACTAAGTAACAGATTTGTGAGAAACTTTTCCTGATAATATTTCTTAACTTTCTCTGAAGTAAGTTTTTGTAAGGATATAACTTTAGCAGTAATATTTTCCGCAGTGTTTGGACTGGTGCTTATAATGGTGCTAATAAACTGAGTGCACCTATTCAAACCCTTCTTTCACTCTCTGACCTCTTTACAGCCTCTCTTTCACCAGACTCTCTCTTTGCAAACACTGACCCCATTATTACATTTCATAGTGACACAGAGAGAAAAATAATCAATGCACCAAAGAGAAAATCAATTTTGGGGGTGAGGCTAGCTTTTACTAGCTCAAACAGTACTGTGCAAAAGTTACCCGTTATTTTGCTTCCAAGAATCCCAGACCTCCTTCTAATTTTTAAAGTAGTCTTGAACAATAGATCATCGGGCTTTTCAAAGGTCTTTCAAAGTTTGTCTTTGGATATTGGCCAAGGATATTATTGGAGAGTTCAAGGCAATAAACCCGGGTAACACTTTATAATACGGCCTGCGACTAAGAATGTTATTCCCCTGTAATCAAATGGAATTCCAGTGTATTTGATTTGAAATGACCCTTTTTGCAATTATATTTACCTACAAATATTTAATGGTAGATACACTATAATAAGGGGTTAACAAGTTGGGTTGGTGTTACAGGATACTCAGAAATAATTATAATTTAAATTGTGCATAAATCATTTTAAGTACCGTGTAATTTCCTGGCAATTTAGCAGAAAGACAATATTTCTCCATCTTTCATTATAAATATGTTGTACTTTTTGGGATTCAGACCATATTATGGAGTGGTTTAAATTTCCCCAACTTCCAGGTATTTTACAGGAAAGGAGACACAATTAAGTAAGTAATAACTTAAGTACAGCATAACTAATTTTAAATAGTTTGTTAATCTTGTAGAGAAACAGTATTTCTCAGTCTTACATTGTAGGTACGCTGTACTTCTCAGGGCGTGGGCCTTAATATGAAATGGATTAGTGTAATCTTTTTGCATCTTTTTTTTTTTTTTTACATCATCATTTAATATTCATTATGTTCAATGTGAGTGATGGATTTTCTATAATTCAGTTTACATTTTTTACTTACTCTGTACTTTACATTTCTTACAGGATAATATGTCTCTCCTTTCCTGTAAAATACTCAGAAGTTGGGCAAGTTTGCCTGTAATACACAAAAGTACAGCATACCTTTGAGTTAAGTACTTATGGTCCAAAATGGGGATATAGTGTTTGTTTTTCTGCTAATTTACCAGGAAATTATGCAGTTCTTAAATTTACATATGCACTACTGCACTTACAGTTTAATTATTTGTTTCCTGTAAAAGCCTGACTTGTTACCACCTTACTCTAGTGTTCCTACCTTCAAGCATTTGTATATTAATATGATTTTCTTTTGTAATTTCAAATAATATACATTGAAATTCCACTCAATTACAGGGTATTTACACCCTTAGTCACGGGCCATTTTATAAATGCCAGGGCCAGCTGATAAAGCCTCTGTGAGAAATTGCACCACCCAGCCATCATGTGAGCTATTGAGGTCATCTGAGGCAAAGTGTCAATGGGCGCTGGAAGGGATCTTAGGACTACATTGTAGGTGGCTGACAGTTGATCAGCCACCATCTATGGCAACAATGGTCATTCACACTGGACATATTTGGCCTCCTTTATTCTCTCTGTCCAAAAATGTGAACAGTGACGCCCTCTAAAGAGTGTCCTTTCTCCTTTAAAAGCAGGTGTACACCTGAGTGTCATCCTGTTGAGGTGGGCCAGTGTCTTACAGGGGTTTTATCTGTTGGCCCCAGTGACTCCTTTTTTCACTCCTTGGCTTAGGTGGCAATTCAAAAGATAAATAGTTTGTTAGTGACTCTTGGGACCATCTCCAATGCGGCAGCCCACACTGGGGGTTTACAGCCTGGAACTCTCCACCATCTGAAGAAGCCTCTTGGATGAGAGGTGAAATGTCTTCGAAAAATTACAAAAGTCCAATTGCCTTCTTTTCAAGCTCTCAAGGAGTAGAGGTAGTGTAGGTGGAAGAGTTTAAATACCTGGGGTCAGCCATCCAAAGCAATGGACAGTGCGCAAGAGGTGGAGAAGAGAGTGGAGGCAGTATGGAGCAGGTGGAGACAAGTGTCAAAGGTGATTTCTAACAGATGAACAGCAGCAAGAGTAAAAGCCAAGGTTTACAAGATGGTAGTGAGAACTGCTATTGTGTAGGTTTAGAAGAAGACAGCAGGCTGAGCTGAAAATGCTCAGATTCTCACTGAGAGTGAGCAGGATGGACAAAATTAGAAATGAGTACGTCAGAGGGACAGCTCGGGTTGAGCGGTTTGGACACAAAGTTAGAGAAACAAGGCTAGGCATGTGCGGGATAGTGGATATACTTGATGAATCATATCTGTGTTTCCATGTATGTTTGCACGTTTCAATAAACTTCTGTGCTTGTTTGCCGTTTTCCTTGCAAAATATGTACTTGAATTAAATGTACAGACTGACAGTTTCCAGTTGCACTCGGACTGGTTTCTGCAGAAGTTTTTAATTGCAGTGCTCAAGATGTCACAAAGCTTTCTGATGTGTCACTTGGCCTCCTAAATGAGAAATAAAAAGATAAACAGTAACAATGGCAACTTGTGAACACCTTTATTTGTATATACAACTATTTTACACATAAAAACCCACAAAGTATTTGCATTCCAGGAACTCCAAGTTTTTGGTTAAGTGAGTTTCACAGAATTGGCCTTCATCAGGCAAATAAAACAAATACACAAACCTTAAAATGAATATTTTCCAAGGATTCCTTTACCTTTAAAGCTCATCAGCTGACACTGTTTTTATTTTTTGTCTCTCTCTCTCTACATAATACAAACAGCATAATTTCTCTGTACATTATTTGTAAGTAATAGAGCAATGTGGAGATTTGAAGCAAAATGCATTGTGGTGTGTCTGCAGTGTTCATATATGGTTCGTGTAATATTCACAGTTTTTAAAAAAAACAGAACAAAACCGAAACTAGATGAAAATATTTTGTATTCATGGCAAACAATTAAACATCCTGTTTAATTATGGTTGGGGAAAATTCTCATTTAAAGGATTTTTTTTGGACTGGTAAAAATAAAAGTTTAATACCATCTCCAAAGGATAATTAAAAGTCTGCAAATGTCTGAGGTTCGGTGGTGGCATGGCTTTACAACACTGCATGGTGAAATAACAAATAAGCATCATATTCTATGTTATTCTATAACTGTATTCATTTCTCACAACTTATTATGTTCAATAGCAAAAAGAAAAAACGATGGGGGAAAATCAGGCAGTTTTCCCTCCTCACATTCATTCATACTGTAAAAAAAATCCAGCATCATTGAGTGTTACTTATTAGTATCCACATTGTCTGGTAAGTATCAGATCGCCTCCTCATGATGGCTTGCTGTGTCGATCTGGTCTAATTTATATATGGCGATGGTGTAATGATCACAATGTATTTACAAAACAATAGATTTATAAGAAAATGTAGTTACATATTCACACACCCCACAGATAAATACTGTTTAGAGCAACACTGAATCATTGAGCAACATCTCCAGAAAATGAAAATACCTATTGACACAAATGACATAATTTGACCCATCCATTTGTTTTTTTGTGACATATTATTACTCTCTATCATCAAGTACAAGTCAGGAAATAGACCTTATTTATTGTCAGTGTTCTGTGTGAATTGGCAACTACAGTTTCAGGAAGTATTGTTCTTCGTCATTTTGGATTTTTTTTTTTTACCAAACATCCAGCGGGCTCACGGCCTTGAAGCACTGATGCAGAAAGAGTCGCATTAACCTTCGCTCTGGATGCGGTCATACAGCGTCCTGTGACACCTCTCTGGCATTCTGTTTCCTCCGTTCATGTTGCGCCTCCTGTCCCTAGCACCTGTCGTCCTCCTCTGTGTCGCTTAGAGGGTCACAACTAGCGGCTGAGGTTGTCTGTGCCAGACGCTTTCGAAAGTGTCCGTTGGGGACTTGCCAGCCAGTCCGCGAGCGTGGACGGGCCGTGCTGATGGTGTTTGAGCGTCCCAGGCTGCAGGCCACGGCCGCCTCGAAGGTCAACGTTTCCATGGGACCAGAGGGGTCTGGGCTGTGGTCGTCCTCTTGCAAAGCCAGGAAGGGCTCAGAAGGGTAGCGTCGAGGTGGGGATGTGCGCCGGGTGGCCTCGCTTTGCCTCTCCCCTGGGACTCCCTCTTGGCTCTTCCGTGTGGACTTGCTCCGCCTCATGGTCTCAGGGCTGCCCGGTTCATCCTCATCTTCACCGATGGAGGCTTGTGTGCGACACACGAGGGGGGAGTAGGAGATGTGAGGGCGAGAGCGGGTTGGAGTTTGCGATAGAGGTCGTCGGCCACTGGGAGTGCTGGACTCAGATGTGGATGGCATCGGACTGTCTGAGCTGTTGCCCTGAAAGCAAAAGTAAAGAATAAATTAATCAACAATCGCCAATAACAACATTTTAAAGAGAACTTATTATGTTTTATTTTTTTCTGCCCATTTTGAATGTGTGGCCTGCTCTCTTGATTTACATGAGTGGTGGAAATTCTGCTGTTTTCAGAAGACCATTAACAGTCTTCTGAAAACAGCAGGTGATTTTTCTGATGTGTTGTTTTCTTCTTATCGGTATTTGGGTATCCACTGTACATGATGGTGACCCCCACTGCACGGGTCTCTGAATTGTTAAGTTAAATTGTATATGAATGAATAGACTCTGACCATAAAGGGATGGACATGGTCATCAGAAATACTCAGGTAAGATGTGATTTTTAAATGATGCTCAGATGGTACTAATGGGCCCAATTGATCTGTGCATTCATGATGATTCTTACCCAACCATCCAAATGTTACAGCAGAAACTGAGACTCAATAAACCAGGCAACATTTTTCCAATCTTCTTCAATTTTGGTGAGCCTGTGAGAATTGTAGCCTCAGTTTCCTGTTGTTAGTTCATAGGAGGGGTGCCTGGTGCAGTCTTCTGCTGCTGTCTTCTGCTTCAAGGTTCAGAGATGCTTTTCTGCATATGTTGGTTGTAAGAAGTGGTTATTTGGGTTATTGTGGCTTTTCTATCAGCTCAAAGCAGTCTAGATATTCTCGTCTGACATCTAACATCAACAAGGCATTTTCTTCCAGTGAACTGCCACTCACTGGATATTTTATCTTTCTCAGGTCTGTAAATGGAAAATTATAGTAGATCAGCAGTTACTGAAATACTCTGGCCAGCTTATCTGGCACCAACAGCCATACTACCTTCAAAGTCCTCATTCTGATGCTTGGTTTAAACCTCTGCAGACTATCTTGACCATGTCTACATGCCTAAATGGATTGTGTGGCTGCCATGTGATGGGCTGATTGGATATTTGTGTTAATGATTAGTTAAATAGGTATACCTAATGAAATGTGTCTGACCTACCTGTTTATCTTGGGGATCTGCTCGTTCTACGCTCGAGGATCGTGAGGGCTGCAAGCTTCTTTCCTCTGAATTACAACGAGACGTGTCTGGAGACAGGAGGTGGCAGCGTTCCTTGGAGCGACCGCGCTCCCTGTCGCCACGCTCAGAGCGAGAAACTAAAGGGACATTCAGGAAAGAGTGCAACAGGAAATGCAAAAATACAAGGGAGCAAAAAAGAAAAAGAAGAAAGGGAAAATAAAGATATAAATGTCATAGGACTACATTCAATTCAGCTCTTCATTATCTATGAACACAGTTGCCTAACAGCAGGCGAGCAGGACTAACCAGCAGCCTTATAGCTCTTGTGACGAGGTCGATAGACTCGCTCGGGGCTTTTCTCCTCTTGCCAAAGTCCATTCACACATTGATCTGCAACAGTGGAGACTGATCGCTTCATGGAGCCACTAGAAACCTCTGCCTGCTTGAAGTTAAAAACACACACAACAAACATAGAAAAACAGGGCACAAACACAAGGAAATAAGTAAGCATACTTCTGTTACCACCAGATTATTTGATCCAAACAATAAAAATGATATTTCATGCTTTAGCCAGTGCAAAAGTGCAGTGCAGCCTAAAAGATTTGAGAGGTTTAGTCTTTCCTTTACTCTGTGGTTGAAAGTAATGGTCATAACAAGATGAGGCAACAGCATTCGAAGATCACAGCCCGTTCTAGCAACTCATTGGACCTTATTCAGCCTCCCAAAGTAACAAATGTCGAAACAAAACTCTACTGATCTGAACTTCTCAGCATCACGTGCACTTAAGGAACGACAGACTTTGGCATAAGAGCCCATGCAGCCCCTGACGTCCTCGAGATCCAGCCCAGAAGCCGTGTCATGGGAGATGTGTGTACCTGCGACTCTACAGCCAGACGAGGCATGGAAGAGGCCCGCACACACAGGCCCCTCCCTAGTGGAAGCTCCAGTGGGGCTTCAATCCCCCTACTGCACTCGCCCACCTAGGTGTGTACAGAAACAAGAGAGGAAGCGCAAGGAAATACAGAGCACCAATCAGGCTCATCCCTGCCAGGACTCCCGCTGCGTATGGACATCTTGTTTAGGTGAGAGGAGGGGCAGACAAGCCATTTCATCACTGACAAAAGTACTATCTATCAGAGCCATCTCCATCGCCATCCAGTCAAAAGCCATTCCAGCCAAAAACAGACGGAGAACTTGCAACAGGAAAACTGACTTCAAGGAGGAGCAGAAACAGAGTGCGGTCGTAAAAGAGGAGCAAGGAGTGAAGAAAAAGAAAAACAGACAACAAAGATATCAGCTCACATCGAAAGATGGACTTTTTCAGCTTGGAAGTGCATTCAGTCATGCATGTTTAGGTGTTAATGGCTATACAAACAGAGCCAGACAACGCCTGTCTGAGGGCCAAACGCATTCCTCTGCAAATTAAGTATTCCAGATCAACTTTATATCATTCAACTGACAAGCAGTAGAAACCATTAAAACCAGACAGTAGAGACACAGCAGACGTCTACAGTTTGACAATCTCCCTTTGCTCTGACTCCAACCTCCACAGGAATAAAACACAGGAGCACAGAGAGCAGCGATGCGATGCCCTGCAAGGCACTGAGAAAACGGCATCAGTCATCACATGTTTATACAATTTTTGTGGCGTTACACCTAAACAAACACTTTGCTTTATTACATTTTTATGTAAAACTCTTTGCTGTGAGGACAGTGATTCCCAAACTGATGGTCAGGATCCTGAAGAGGTTACAAAATAGGAAGTGCACAAAAGAAAAGCTGCATTTTCAAGTTATCTCGTGTTGGAGAACAGCATGCCGTGCCATCAGAGCCACTCTGCGAAACTGCTCATAAAAATTAAAATAAACAAAACAAAAACACACCTTTATTCAAATTTTGCTGATCCCACCTTCAAGGTGATGCCAGTGAGCAGCGCTGCCAGTCTGAGACAGTGAATTCATTCACTGGGGGATGAATTCATGGTGCAAACCTCCATGAATGTTCAACAAACATGGTTCTGGTGGAATTGTGATTTCTTCCACTGAAAGCTGCTGTTTGGTTGCTGGTTCGCAGCTGGTTTCCCAGCTCTTATGCTCTGTTGATCCTCGAATAAAAGACAGCCAATTTGACACAGAAGATGATGTTTTCTTGCTAAGCAAGTTTAGAGTTTAAAAAAGGAGTTTGAGGGAGAGATTTTTAAAAAGCAGTTGTCCTGGAAGTGATCCAGAGGTGCACAATGGCTGGAGTCGCTGAATTTTTCGATGACACCTCTGGAGTTAAAAGTAAAAAATATAATATATGCAATAAAGTATTTGCTTTTGTTTATTTGCTCTGGCATATTAAAGCTAAGCAGCACACTGATGCTACGGTAACATTTATTCATAAGATCAAAGCAGCAGAAAAGCTCTGCTTTCAAGTGCAAATTACTCTGAGTCAAAAACTACATAAATTAAAAGGTCAGAGCATTGCCAAAAAGCCTGCCATGGGGATAATGTTTTATGTTTTACAATTATATTGGTCCTTTATCTTACCAGATTCTGTTGACTGGTATCAACGTCAGAGCTCATGGGCTGCAAAAACAGCTCCTGAGGTGAAATGGGGCTCAAAGCCACAAAGCCTCCCCTGGTCCTGTGTCAAGATGGAGAAAAACAGTAAGCAAAGGCATTCAGAATCACACATAAGTACAGACTTTTGCAAGCATTTGCAGACTCACAGGGCTGAACCAGCACTGTGTGGCATCATTGGCAGTGGTTGGTTAGACAGAATGTCCTCGGGGAGAGCAGAAGCATCCAGACGCTTGAACATCAAGCTACTCTTCTGAAATGAGACAAATACAGAAAAGACTGAAGACATCTTCGTGACAACTTTGTGTTAATTTAGCTAATTATAGGCCAACCTCCAACCTTTCTTTTATCTGAAAAACTCTTCAAAGATCAATTGTAAAACAGCTAAATGATCATCTGCAGAGCAATGTTTTATTTGAAGAGTTTCAGTCAGCTTTCAGACTTTATCACAGTACAGACATCACTTAAGTGAAGGTTACAAATGATCTTCTTATGTTATCTGACAGTGGCTTATCCTGTTATCCTGTTTAATACTGTTGGCCATAATATTTTATTATAGAGATTAGAGCATGCTATAGGTATTAAAGGTACTGCGCTGCAGTGGTCTGAATCATATCTAATAGACTCCAATTTGTTCATGTAAATTGTGAGTCTTCCTCACACTCTCAGGTTAATTATGGAGTTCCACAGGGTTCCATGCTGGGACCATTTCTGTTTGCAAAATACATGCTTCTCTCTCTCTTAAATCTCTCTTTAATCTCTTAATCACCTAAGACTGAAGTTATTTTATGGTGCTAAAAATCTTAGAAATATGGTGTCTAATCAGATGCTTACTCTATGTCATTAACTTGGCCTCCATTAACACTGTGAGGACTCTTGGACTAATTTTAGACCAGGATGTGTCTTTTATTGTGCATATTAAACATATATGTAGGACTAAGGTTTTGTATTTGCACAGTATGTCTGAAATTAGAAACATCCTGTCTTTAACATGGCCAAAGAGCAAGTACTCCCTATGAGGGAAAAGCTCAGACACAGAGCTGCTCTGAACACTTCATTTTTGGCTCTGTAGGACATCGGTGATAGGAGATATCATTAATATGGTCAAGAATTTTTTTAAGGAATGGTAAATAACAAAAGAAACCTAAACTTAAAGCAATCAGGAACTGGATATATAATAGGTCCCCTAGCTTACTCTACCTCCTGAACAAACTGGGTGCAAAAAAAAGTAAATTTGTAGAAAACTAAAGTTACAAAAAAGAAGGTGTCACAGAGTTCATAGTGACGTGCTGAGCAGACCTGAGCCTCCAGCTGCTGCCTGAGCTTCTTGGCTTTGTTCTGTTTGAAGTAATCCATTATCATCATCGAAGCGTAGATCTTCCCGACCGTCATGTCAGTATCTGTGAGAGCAGGAGCACTCCATTAGTTGTCACTGCTCACCTCTCAGCATTACAGTGAGAATCACCTTCTTAGTTAGAGCCAGACCTTTGTTGATAGGTACCAGTAGGTCCAATGTCTTCTGGGGCAGATAAGGCCAAATAATACTGATCTCCTTTTGCAGCTCGGTATCCAGTGCGATACGGTCCTCACCACCTGAGACAAACACTCACCTTTAACCATTTTTTTTAATGATGCACTATTGATGGAACAAAATGTGAAATCTGAAGACATTAACTACTCAGCAAAACAAAAGAAAAGCAGATAAATGATAACTAAAGCAATCACGACCCTAACCCCGAGCTATTTTGATATCCAGAGCTGTGCGGATGAGTGACATCAGAGTTGAGGTGAAGTGGACGGTCATGTCCTCATCCACGGGCATGTTCATCAACACCAACCTCTGCCAGAGACAAAGACAAAGAAGGAGGGAAAGTTTCTATGTTAGACCGTAAACCAATACCTCCAGCGACCTTTTAAATCACATAAAAACACACAGCAGCCACACATATGCACATAACCACTGACTTCTTTAACTTCACAAAGACCAATCATTTGCTTTCTATACATTTTTTAAAATTGAATAACTGAACAAAATTACTAGCTGCCATGCCCTTTCTGTTGTGTGTTATATTTATTTTATATAACCAAACTCTCACTTTTCATTTTATCTGGCCTTTCTGTGTTAAATAAAATGTTTTCATACCTTATAGGCGATCTTAGCAGGACATTTTTTACCCAAGCCCAGGGGTGGTGACATGTGTGTTAACATCTCATACATGGCCGTGTAGTGGATGCGGCCGCTTCAGAGGGAAAGCAAAAACGAGAAGTGAAGGGATGTGCAGACAGAAGATGCAAACAGAGCAGACTTTTCTTCTGAAAGTAGTTAGAATGATGAAAATAAATGCCACTTCGACTTGATGAAAAGCAGCTTGTGTTCCTTACACTCAAAGATCAAAGCATTCACATTTATGCTCTTTGGCTGCCCTCTGCTGGATAAATACTGTGCCTAAATATTGATCAGGTCTGCTTCAAATCACAAACTGATAAAAGAGCGAGTCTCACCACGCCAGTCGATCATATTCTCCCCAGATTCGGACAAACTCATCCAGGTGATGGGGACCCAGGATTGAGGAATCTCGTGTCAGGTACTCAAAGTTATCCATAATCACAGCCACAAACAGGTTCAGCATCTTAAAAAACACAAGGGCAAGAACCTAAGAGGAAAGGCACAGCAGACTGCAACACACCTGAAAAGGCAAATTTTTGTTGGTCCTGACCAAGAATGAGCTGAAGAAGATGAAAGACACAAAGTAGCAGTAAGCAAAGTCGGTCCCACAGCCGCCCTCGTGGTCCGGAGACATAGTGAGGGGGGCGATGGAGGGGTCTGGTTCACACTCCTGGCCTGACAGACAGGACAGCATGATCTCCTGCCAGGACTCCCCTGTAGCACTCCTGGTGGTGTTAACACAAACAAATATCCAGCTGACATCTGACCGATAACACATTCATAGATGATTAACACCAAACACCAACAAAGGAGCTTTACTCAGAACAGCAGCACTGCCTATATGTAGTTTTGAGCTCACCTGAACAGGAGCATGAGTGCGCTGAAAAATGTCTTAAAATTGTTGTGCTGGTTGATGTGACTCTCGTCATTCAGCTTGATGTTTCCAAACACCTGCAGAGAACAGCTGGCTTCAGTTAATTCATAGTTTTTCCTGGACAACTGGTAGCTTCTCCCATAGCAGCTGCTAATCTTCTAGAGTTCAAACATTAAAAATATCCACATAACACACTAAAACAATCCTAAGAGGTGGGACCAAGAAACAAAGTTTAACAATAGGACTAAATCAGTAAATCACACTATAATACACAAAATCTCTGTCTGTGCGTTTGTTTGTTTGTTTGTTTGTTTGTCCACGAACCCCTCTTAGACCATCTGGAGATGAGAAACCAAACTTGGCACACAAGTACATCTTAGACTCCTGATTGTTTTTATCTATATGAGAAAGTATGATGTCATCATGAGCCCTAACAACCACGTACTGTAGCAACAGGCAAAAATTCACTAGTTGGGACCATATCCTGTTACAGACTTGACAGCATTTGAAGTAGATAATGGCAGACGGCGTGAGCATGGACTGAGGCTGTGGTTTGGGGATATAGACATATATAGACAGAGAATCGGAAGGAGCGTGTATGAGGTGTGGTCCCACTCCTGAAATTGGGATAAATGATGTCCAATTACCTATTTTTTAAGGATTTACGCACTTATATCACCTAATGAAAGTATCTTCATTTTCATGTCATGACAATAGCATCTAATTTTGATCCACATGTATATTACTATGCCCTTAATTGTATTTATATAGCACCAACAATCAAACCTACACTGCCTGACAACCATCTAGCAATAGACTATAATGACCAGTTTCTAGACTTTATGCAACACACTTTACTAAAGCCTCCTATCCTTTAGTTTTACAACACTTTATGTATATCCTAAGGTACTAACTACTGCTAATGATTGGCATAAATTATCAATTTTGGCACATAAAAAACATATTTTTATTTTTATTTTTCTCAAAGTGGCCCAACAGCATGAACAGGCCAAACAAAACCGTGAGCAAAAACTTGAATTCAATTCAATTCAACTGTATTTATATAGCACCAAATCACAATAATATTTGGCTCAAGACGCTTTATATTATTAGGTAGAGCCCTTACCATAATAGAGAGGAAACCCAACAATCAAACTACACCATTTGAGCAAGCAACTGGCAACAATGGGAAGGAAAAACTCCCTTTTAACAGGAAGAAACCTTAGGCAGAACTACGCATAGTATAAAAAATGGCTTAAAGTAACTAATGGATGTACAGAAACAGTTAAGATCAAACTAGCTCATACAAATAACAGTGCAGACACGAGTAAGTACTAAATAAATATCCTGAATATGATGTGCGTGCTTTTTGATTATTCTATACTGTACATGACCATGATGTTTTCAAGCTGTGGCCCCACTGATGGGGCATGGATATACCTTGAAAAAATATGTACAGAAATGATGCTAAATTAAGGAGAATCCTTCTTTTTATCGATAAAAACTGTTGGGTATCATGTTGTTTCACCTCTAAAAAGTTTGTCCACCACTGATGTAACTCATGTAAGCTATCAAAGGGCTGGAGGAATAAATAGTAACAAGCAGACCTTAAGTGAGAGCTACGAGTTTGTTATGATATTTTTGATGTAGTTTAATTATCGAAAATATTACCTGCATTCCAATTATGGCGTATATGAAGAAAAGCATGGCAATAAGAAGACAGACATAAGGGAGAGCCTGGTGGAGAAGAAACAGGAAATACAGTTTATCAAAACTTCTTGTAATTTGTTATAATATCTTACAGCATATTAGATACATCTTTAAAATAATAAAAAACAAAGGTAGTGGGAAAACCTTAAAGGATTGTACGAAGGTCCACAGCAGAATACGGATGGTGTAACCCTGCCTCAACAGCTTGATCAACCTGGCAGTTCGGAAAAGCTTCAGGAAACTCATGTTGATGGTGTTCACCGACTGGGACAGACGTGGTTGGAGAGAGGGTGACAGAGAGAGAGAAGGAGAGAGAGACAGAGAGCGGCGACAGAAGGGAGAGACAGGATGTAAAACACAGATGGCGAATTTCATCACAACATGACTTAAGTTGTGTCTGGAGGAAGGGTAACACACCAGGAAGCTTGGAAAGAAAGTATGCTCTTGTCTTTTTATTTTAGGGTCACAACAGTGTGAAAACGAATGGTGTCTTGGCAGGGGCTTACCTGTAAATCCACAATTATCTCTGTGATGCTGCCAAGGACAGTAATAAAATCAAAAATATTCCAAGTATCTCGAAAGTAGTTCTGCAGGAAAAAGGAAATGCTTTGGTTAATTCCATCGCACATGGAGAAATTCAACTAAATGTGATCTAAAGTCTTTTGTTCTGCTCACCACAAAACCAAACGCCATGATCTTCAGTATGCACTCCATGGAGAAGAGGACAGTGAAGGCCGTGTTTAGGTGTTTCAGGACTGTATCGTAAGCTGCCGGGGCTGAGTGGTACTGCAAGAACAAAGAAAACAGGCCAAAAGGTCAATCTGACATTCAATCAATCAGTTATTACCATAATTAGTAAATTATTGGTGACATTTTGGTGAACATGACGAGCATAATTTTAAAGGTCATAATGATGGATTTGCAGCTGCCTCTCTAAGTTTAATTTCAACACGGTATACAAAGAATTAAAACGGACGGACAATCCATATGAATAGAAAATGTGTTTACACACACGTATTGACAGTTACATTATCTTTGCGTTTATGATTCGGTGGCTCCAAAACCTTCTCTTGTGACAAGGCAAGCTTCACAACACAGCTCACATATACACAACACATGAACGTGAGCATGAAAAGTACTGAACTGTATTGTTTTAAAAACGTTTTTTTTTTCTTTTATTGTGTAATTCAACCTTTCCATCGATTGAAGAGTGCAAGGAAGAGAAAAGACAGCAAAACAAACTGAACAAAGGCACCTAACAGTAAAAAAATAAGACAGATCAATGGAAATTGAAGGTTTCTACTGAAGTTCAATTAAAACACAACAAAAGCAAAAACAAAAATAAGACAAAACTTTGTAATTACAGGATTTTGAACTTTAGGAAAACTCAGACATTATCTGACTATTGATTAAAATCACTCCTCCGTGAATCGCAACCTTATCGTGGTGGAGGGGTTTGTGTGTCCCAGGGATCC